TCCCTCCAGGTAAGTCTATGGGGGGGGGGACACAGGTGATGCATTGGTGGGGAGCACAGATGATGTGGTGGGGGGGAGGGGCAAGGCAACACAATGGGGGGTGCACATGACCCCTGAGATTTCTGCACCCACCACGGGGCACAGGCTGTCTCTGAGTCAGACCAGCTCCTGAGGAGCTGCGCAATTCTGTGCTACCATTGCCATGACTCACCATGGTGGCACAGTGCTCCTTCCCATGCCAGGTCCCACCTGCTGGGCTGTGGAGGTGGCTCCTCTGGAGCTGGTCTGGCCTGGATGCAGCCCTGCACCCTACTGTGGGAACAGACGTCTAGGGGGCATGTTCCCCCCAGCCCCAGAACATTGTCTGTGCCCTCTGTTCCCTACACCCCACCTCCTCCCTTAAACACTGGGCAGTGGGTTGGGGGTGAGGGGCAGTAGCAGGGCTGGGGGGCCTGTGGCTCAGGAGTGAGAGGCTCTAACAGGGCCAGGGGGCTGTGAGTCAGCAGTGAGGGGTGCCAGCAGGCCTGGGGGGCTGTGGTTTGGGAGTGTGGGGCAGGAGCATTGATAGGGGCAGGGCACCACAGGGGCAGGGCTGCTCAGCACCACAAAGCAGGACAGCCACAGATGGACCCACATCCTGGTGAGTGAAGGGGACAGAGAGAACTCTGATTTTCCATGATAAAAACCCCCCAAATAAAATGCCAAAATATGTAAGTATTTAGAATATATTTCATTATAATGATTATGAGGCACTGGTAGGCTTCGAAATTGCTTTAAAATTGTAAATATATCAATAAAATATTGTGTTCAACTGATACATACATACATATATACACATATATATACATATACACACACACATATATATATATATAGAGAGAGAGAGAGGTGTTTCATTTTAATTGTGGAAAATGTGGATTTGGGGGGGTTTATTAGAGAATTTGGGACTTTTAAACAGAGAAAAAAACAGGGTCCCTGCTACTGATTAACTCTAGCTTTTGGATCAAAAGCTCATTTTCTTATAGTATTATGCTTGTTGCTGAACTAGGACTTCCTGGTCCACAATATAAAGAGTAGTTTGTCAATGTATATTGAGAGTGTATTCAGAAACCGCTTGAGGAAGAAGTGAAAATTCACACCTGTAACTGGATTTCTGCAAAGTGGATTCTAAACATTCAAACTCCCTACCTTCCTGAGCTGCCTTCTCCTTTTCCTCATAACACTGCTTAACCACTAGTACTCCCATCTAGTTTTTAACTTCTCTCTCAAAGTATTCAAGAACAGTAAGAGGAAGGGCAGCTCTGATGTGCAATTTTAGGAAATGTTTCCACCAATCAAATCTACCACCTGTGGGTACCATTATGAATATGTAGATGTTTCTTGAATAACTCCAGTCATAGGTGTGCAATCTTCATTACTTGAAGAGCTGAATCTTTGCACTCGTATTCCCAACGTACTTTTCTCCTCTACCTTTGAGTTTTCTACACAGACCAGATTCTGTAATTAAGGAGAAGGAGCTGAAGCTGTTTGGAGCATTGCACTTAAACAGACATGGATGACAGTTGTTCAGCACCATGAGAGAGCTCCTCCCCACACAGACTGTCTTAGCGAGCATTCTGTGAACTGAACAATGAGGACAACATCCCAGAAGTGGAACTGCACAAAGGCTCTTAAAACTCTTGGGATAATTATATAAACATTTAGGAGTAATTAGAACAGTAAAATTTGCTCTCTTCCTATTAGCTATACCAGTTTGCTACTTGTAAAAAACTATTTTAGCATCTTTCCATAGCAAATACTGAGATATTTAATAAAGAATAAGAACACATGTTCTAAAGTTTTATTTTTTCTTTTTTTGTAGCTTATGAGTGGTCCATTTCTGCAGTCTCTCCAGCAATTTCCTAAGGACAGTATCAATGAGGAGACAGTAGAATTATTACAGCCTTATTTCAACATGGAAGATTATACTTTGGAGAATGGTAAAAAGGTCTGTGGTAATGTGGCAGGACTCCTATCTTGGACACAAGCCATGGCAATATTTTATAGCATTAACAGAGAAGTGTTACCTCTTAAGGTAAAAGAAACTCCTTGTTTTTAATATGTTAATAAAGTAGTTAATAGCTATACTGTTTTGGTTTTAGCAAAAATGTACTGGAAATGTACTGTTGTCTATAAAACTGACCTTGGAACTGCTGGTGTTTGATAAGAAACTTTCTCCTTTCTTCCTGTCCCTTTCAAAAAATAGAAGGGTATCTCTTGTTTTTAATGCAGTTTACCTTAGTTTACTAATGTTTATTCAATGTTATTGTTAAAGCCTTTATTTCTCAGCGTTACTTATCTTCAAATCATAATGACTGAAAATAGTAAGAAATTAGTATTTAAAAGGTGCATTTTATGCAAACAAAAATGTCTTATAGGCAGTACACTTTGTGCTTAAGATGCTGCGATACTCCATTATTAGAGTCTGCCTGGCATATTTTTCAGTTGGGGGTGAGTGCACTAGGAAATAAAACTTCAAAATCCTTTTTATTGGCATTATATTTGTGTAGATGAGTTTGCTTTTCCTTGCCTGAGCTACTTGATTTTATTCCACCTCCAAAGCACTGAAAAAGAGAAAAGAAGACATTTGATTTCCATCACATTTTGGCTGAGCTGAAGGAAGCCTTCTGGTGGCTGTTGAATTTCTAAACTGACGTGCTGCTTCAGTACCATTGTCTCCTGACAAATGGCTTTGAGGTTGAAGCATCAATTTACTGAGTTAATTTTACCCGTTTTGTGTAATAGAGTTCAGCATAGTGTTACATTTGTTCTGACTTCCAGGTCAATAGAATTAACTATCTTGGATCCAATCCAGGTTTCCAGTCAGTCTGCTGCATAGAAACCTCCACAGCAGTTTAGAGTATCAAGGACCCTTCAGCTTCAAAGTCTTTAGGGCTGAGCTTCTCTTTGGTTAATTAAAATAAAGTTGGGTGCTTTATATCAATCTGGGTATAAGACTAGAGATAGACACCTGAAAATATATCCACTTGAATAAATGACTAGCCTTTTCTATAGTATCCAAACAAAATAGAGAAATATTGCCTCAAGCCTAAGAAAATTGTTTTCTCTCCAAACAAAATTAGATGCATGTTTTTCCTTAGTCATCTTTATTCAAAAGATTGCAGGATCTGAATGGGATCTACTAAACTAAAATGTTCTTCTTTGATCGATTATTCCTCGATGCTTCACTCTTGCTATGCTTGCACCCTCTGTACTCAAGTTGGAGATTTCAGTCAGTGGTACACACTGGGGCAGTGGACACAACCTGAATGTTTTCATGTTTCCAGCTGAGAGTACAGAAAGATAGGGCTTCCCCAACCCACTTGTCAGTTCCTTCTCACTTCCTGTCAATACTAGTCAGACATTACCATTTAACCACTTAGCACACTTTGTAGTTTTCTATTGTTGTCAAAAAATGGTTATCAGTAAGTTACTGATCCAGTATTTGCTGGTGTCAGCAACCCATAAAAGATCTTACCTGGGACATCAGAAATCTACACTTTAAAACAAGGAGCAAAAAATGTTGGACCTCATAAAAGATCTGAGCACAGCAAATGGAAGCCAAACCTAACCAGTGTCAGCCAGGCTGTTGTAACAGCAGGCTACAGTCTGTCCTTCAGAAGAATACCACACACTTCACAGACTTGTGAGGCAGGTTTATTACACCTCCAGGCTGTGAACATGGACCTCGAACTACTGAACTGGAATTGACAAATACAGTTTTGTCAATTTGGATCTGATGTTGTAATTAATTGATAAATTACCATAGAGACCCAGGATGAAA